TATAGTTTTGGTGTTTGTAGTCGATGGTGTTTCAACACCCACAATAATATTATATAATGCTAGGACTTTGGACATGTGTCAAATTTTAAATTAATTAGAAAAACCCATGAGAGCTAAAAGAAAATGGACAGAGAGACAGACTAATAAACAAAATGTAAGACGGGCAGACATTGATCGGATAGACGAGAAAGACGCATAGGAAAGCAGACAGACGATAGCAATGGATAGACGAACGGACGGATGGACAATCAATCGGTTAGATAGGCGACAGGCAAATGCGCTGGCACCGAATAAACAGGAATACAGATAGATATATACAGACATATAAAATGTAATAGACATAGACATCAATAACCATTAACACGATGATAGAAAAGGCAACACGAACACAGAAGAACGGTACACACATAATGATAATCAAATATTAGATTAAAAAATGATAGGTGAATAGACAAGCGAGTGACAGATTTAAAAGTCGACATATGAGCATATCTTCAATAAACAGACCGACGCGCAAAAGTATCAGGAGACAGCAATGAACAAATGATTGCAGGGGAACAATTCAATAGAAGAACGAAAAACCAAAATACAGATACACATTTTGATCGGGCAGACAAAAGGGCAATGCAACAAATAACCAGAAAAACAGAATGACAAACAATCAGAACGACGATCTTGACAATTTAAATGAGTTTGCATCGCATAAACAACTTTGAAGATACATACACAACTTTCTAACCTATTACTGTGTACCGCATTTCTCTGTGATCGGTATAGCCATCGCCATCTTAGGTATCAATATACTGGATACTATGGAATTATCACATTCACGCTTTTCAGTTATTATTATGTCTTTTGCAAATTTTTAATAAAAATTTACATGTGTTAACAGTTGGCCAACAGAGTAACGCTTCATGCTAAGCGTCTACTCTTTAATAATAAAACATGTAAATGTGTCTCTGTGTGTGTGTGTATGTGTGTGTGTGTGTGTGTGTATTTGTATGAATATAAACATACATCTCATACTTTTCCTTACACCTGTACTCGTTTCATACAGTTTGTTGCATTTATGTACGTGTGTGTATGTAATTACATGTCACTCATAAAACATTATATTATGCATCAAATATTCAGGTAAAGGTAAAGGTAAAGGTTTTCAAAGTACACATAAGTATGCATGTACATGAATGCGGGTGGATCTGTGCTTGACTGTTCATATTTGAGGGCAGGTTATGAGCCATTTACAACATCACCATAATGCGCATTATATATACATATAGATATATATTTATATATATATATATAAAATTTTAAAATCCTTATCTGCATTCAAAAAGAAAAAGTTTTTCGATCAATTTTGACACAGTTGCGTGCGTAAATTTTAATTAAATGTCACTCATACGATCCACACATATAAGTGTTCAAGAGCAGATGTGTGCGTCCAAATTTAAAAGAAAAAAAAAAAAAAAAAAAAGAGATAAATAACAGGTAAGACATCATATTCGCCTTAAGGCGAACGATAGATACCCATCAGCTTAAGCCCATATAATAAACGAATGAATAAAAACCTTTTTGCGACCCTTACAACAGATATAGTGAGTGGATTTGAGCGAAGCGGGGAAATACGCCTTAGAAGAGCCCATAAATTGTAAACAATTTTAATCAGCAGCGAATTTGACAGAAAATTTATTTATCTGTTTGTGAGATCACATACGCTATAAATCCTATTAACATACGATCTTTAGCTTATCTTTCGTCTCAAGCTTGTGCGCACTTAACATAAGTAATGTAAATTCCCTCGTCTATAGAGAGCAAATGAAGGTCAAATAATTCGTTTATAGCCAAAACAATAGATCTTTTTTATACGAATCATGGCCATGTCTGGTAAAACTTTTCGCGTCAAACTTTGAGATACGTCTGAAGAACGAATCGTTAGACAGACAAAATTGAATCACTTTCAAATATGTCATAGCTATATTTATGTATATATTACGGAGACTTCATATTGCAAAGACGAAATTGCGAAACGATTCTTAGAATTTCGTTGAATGACAACAAAGATACTTGAAAACATTGCAAGTTTAATATTCATATTTATTGCTAAAATCTATAAAAATCGATGAAAACATTTTGTATACAAAGAAAAACAAAAAAAATTAAAAAAATAAAAAAATAAGAAAACAAAATTTTAACGAAATTACTTTAATTAAGAAAATTGTATTTAATTTGTCCCCAAAAGATATTTATTTTTTAAGAAATATAACTAAAGTAAGTAAACTTATTACAAGCGGGACATGTTCAACTTTGAAATGCCCTACACCAATTTTGCTTAGTACATGCCTTTATCTATTTTCGATACCAATAGACACACTTTGCTTGCATGAGAGCCTTCGTAAAGGGTCAGACTTAAAATAAAGTCCTATGATTGGTGCGATTAATTTCTCTCTGAAGTTACTATTTTCGGCCAATTTCATTATCATTATACAAAAAAAAAAAAAAAAAGAACAGTTGCTATTATAAATCAATTTTCACTACGGCTTACTTACTTTTCATAGGAACAGTTAGGAGAACACATAGGAGATTTCAAATATTCGCTCATTTGCACATCAGCTATTACTTAGGGCTATTTCTCGAGAACATTCTCGAATGTCCGCCTTTTCCTATTTGCTGTCCTGTATAATCATCCATAACGCGTGCACACAAAAAGATACGCGAACCGAAACGAACGTGCTTGGATCGATGTACCGTATTATATCAATGAAAAATATATATAGACTTCGTAGCGTCGTTGACTGCAAAAGCAAACCAATTGTTTTTCTAAATTTTTAAATTTCTTGCAAAATCGGTCGAATGACGCTTCTACCGCACGACAACAAATGCAATTTTTCTTTCTTTTGGACCGTAGGTAGGGTAGGGTGCAGAAGGTAGGGTCCAGGGCTTATGATCCGACCATTTCAGTAAATTGGTTTCGTCCGTCCGTTTGTTCATGTAAGGGTGAAGCACGTGTTTCTTATTTTAGATATAACCGTCTGTGGAGTGTCCGTGGAATAATAATTTTAACCTTGCTTTTTCTTTTACATGGCAGATATGTTCCTTAGAAGACCACGCAAAAAAAAAAAAAAATCGTGCAAAAAAAAATACATATGATATATGATAAATTTGACGATATATTCCACAACTATAAAAAACCGTGTAAAATGAAGAAAGCTCTATATATTTTCCCCAAAAGTCGTGCAAAAAAAGTAAAAATATAAAAATTCATATTACGTATGTATAAAACAAAAAGTATTTTGTATTACTTGTATCACGCAAAACAAATAAAAGTAATGTACAGTGAAAATTTAGGCACAAATACGATACATAAAAATTGAAATTCAATTCCGCAGCTATTCATCGCTATTTGATAACAAGCGAGCACGTTTTTTGCGGTCTGAACTGCAAATGCTATCATCAGTAAATATGTCTCGCACAACTATCGGCCTTGATTCAAATCAAGAATTTCGTCCGTCATTAACAGCGTCTATTGGTTTTTGTTATTGCTGTAAAGTCTGTTATTAGCGGCTGGGCATAAATCCACCGACTTCTCATCACATTCTTCCCCCATCTCTTATATGTATTGTTGCTGTATACATAAAATTCTGTAAAACATTTTCAACATTCAAACAAGTTCGTGCATTTGTTCTTATTGATGGATCGTGTTCTTTTAAAATCAAGTAACAAAAGACCGCGTAAAAAAAGAATTGAATGTATGTTGCGATAGTGTAAATTCTCATTTATTGTACAACTTTTGCCAATAAAGATGATTACATTTTTAATTCTGAACGTTTTGAACGATTGTCCCGTTATATGTAAGATTTTTGAAAGAGAAATGCATAAAGATTGCACCAATTCGAATTCTCGTAGGGCAATTAGTTCATTATCAATTGAAATCGTACGATGAATCGTAAGGTATCGGTATCCGTCATTGCAAGCAAGCAATGCGTGCAAAAGTGTGGCCGAGCCGCAACGATGCTATGACCTATGACACCGCAACCTATGTGCAAGCGAAATTTCGCAAGACTCGATTGCAGTCTACGTGCTCAGACATTTCTCACGCAACGGCACAAGTAACTTCTTCGATTGTGTTGAGAAATTCTCCTTTAGCGAGATCGGAGAAAATTTACATAGATTTTCTGGTATTAAATTAAATCGCTTTCATATTTTTTGAAACCAACTTTCCTTAGTCAACTTAATTACATTTTCACATTCTCCCCGATCAGCCGGTTACTGCCTTAATTCAAATTTATTTTTATATAGGCCCCCCATCACTCTCAATCTAACATAAGATGTAAAGTATCTTTTTAATATCTTATTTCGTTATATAATAAAATTTTATTATCTAAGATTTGCTTAACCTCATTCAGGGCCAAAATTATGTCAGAAATGTCGCCTTGAAGTCACTCTTGAATTTGTTCGCCAACATACATTCATACATATAAGAATTTGTAAATTTTACTTTAACATCAATATTGAGAAGCTTTACATTGATTCTTTGTGACGGTTCTAGGGCTAAGATTTAATAAATGTCTATTTTCATAATGCAGACTAAGGCATGCGATTTAGGAATACGTTTGCCGTTTGAACAATTCAAACCGTTCACATTTCTCGACAATGATCATAAGAGAAAGAGAGAGAGAGAGAGAGAGAGAGAGAGAGAGAGAGAGAGAGAGAGAGAGAGAGATAGAGAGAGAGAACATGAATTAGAAATCATAGGGTATTACGTAATCGTTAAGTATTTTTCAAATATTTTAATATTCTATTTAACAATGAACTAATTTTTCCATTAGAAAAGTATTAAGGATGTTTTTTTATTAATTGTGTTTATTTTTTTCAATTTTTACCTTTGCACTTGCACTTGTGCTTTTTCCTGCTTCATTTAAATACAAAGCAAACAGATTTCACTCATATTAACTGATGCTATATTAACCAATAACCAATTGTCCCGAAAATCCTCTTCTCAGCCAATTGCAGACCCAAAATCTATGCCAACAGCACTAAGCACAGGTAATAGCAATAGCAGCAGCACTAAAGTGTTACCAGTAAAAATACGCCTGCGCCGTAAAATTCGACCGTTAGATATTAAAGATGAGGACACAAAGCATCAAGGATCGCCGCTTCAAATTGAAAGAGACGGTGTAATTCTTAATGGGAAACAAGAGCAAACAACCCAGGACCCGTTGAACGGCAATTACACAACGGAAATTGCTAATGTTCCGGTTGAACCATTCGTTACGAAATCATCGAATCATCGCTCGCCTGTATCACCCGCCTATCTCGACGAAATTCATCGTCAATTCCTGAATCCCATTAGTTACTTAGGCGGCCCACAACTGCAGCCGCGTAATCGAAATAGTATCGATTCAATATTGTCATTGGATTGAATTTGTTTTTTAGTTTTTAAGCTTAGCTAAAATTTCTACTTTTTTTTTTTTTGGCTCTTCTTTGAGAAAAAAAACGAAATAAATCGATTTTTGTTTAATTCCATTAATTGATTTTTTCGTCTTTTTTTTTTTTTATTATTTAATGCATTCACTCCAACATGCACACATCCATACATACATACATACATGCATGCATACCTAAATAAAAAACGTACATACATACAATATCTAGATAAAAACATACAAACGTACATGCGTACCTAAATACAAAGCATACATACATACATACATACATATCTGGAGAGATCAGCATATTTTTTCTAAATCTTATTTCTTTGTCGTGTTAATTTATTAAAATAAATATTTTAATTTTTTTCTAATTTTATTTTTAAAAAACTGTTGTCAATATTTGAGACTTGCTGTAAAGTGATCGTAAGGACAAGAGAAAGCAAATGAGAAAAACTAGGATCTCATGTAAATTTTCATAGTCTTCTCTGATAGTTTCTAAGAAAATAATAAAAATAAAGTTAAAAAAAAAGCATACGCGCGCACACACTTAACTATTACTTCTTATTTCGATAATACAAAATCTATAAAAGAAAATAAAAAATAAAGTTTTCAGAATTCCAGTTCCTTTGCCTTATGAGACGTTAAAAGATTTTCGGCTTAGACGCACGCTTGATTGGTTTCTATAACCAATTGCGACCACCACGTCATATGCTGTTCTCTTTCTTGGTGTCTTCACTTTTAGCAGGCTCCTCCGTTTCGTTGGTGTCCACTGTGAGATTGAAACAGAAAATAGTTTCCAAATATTCATACAAACGCTTTTATATATATTTTGCAAAATAGTCTCTTACTCTTTTCTTTTTCATCTTTAACGTCCGCGTTTTCAGTAACGGTCGTCTTGTTACTATCCTTTTCTAACCGTGGCCTCTTTCTCTGTCCCTTAAATGAACGGTTGTCCCGGCGGCCGCCTTCACCTTCATCTTCTGAATCGGAGAACTCATTATCCGGCACTATACGCTTATCTTTATCACTTTGGGGAATTCTTTCGTCTTTATCCATCTTATCGTCGTCTTCAGACTCATCGTTAACTGCATCTTCTGGTATAGTTTGTATTTGAACACCCGGAGCGTGCGGTAACATGCGTAAATTCTCAAATAGTCTACAATTTTACAAATGCATAAAAAAAAAATTTTTTTTTTTTGTTACACGTGGATTAACCTGTTGCGTATTTTTTCCAAGTATTCTGCAGTATTTTGATTGGTCATATTGCTAGGACTGATATGCAATTTAAAATCAGGTCCAAAGTACTCGAAGTAATCATTATACGGCAGTTCGTTTGCTATTTCAACACCCAAAGCCACAGAGGTTTCATATGTCCAGCAACGTGATACGTTGCGTATAGTGTAACCGCCACCACCGACCATTAAAAATGGTAAATTGTATTTTTTAACAAATTCCACACAACGGCCGTGACCTTTTACCGTTAAGTTGAAGCAGCCTAAACGGTCACCAGTCAGAGAATCAGCACCACATTGTAAGACAACAGCGGCCGGTTGAAACGTTTCCATTACCTTAGCAATAATCGGTTCAAATATCGATTCATAAGCCTCATCGTCCATACCGTCACGCAATGGTATGTTAACAGCGTAATATTTGCCTTTACCAGCTCCGATATCACGTAAATCGCCGGTGCCCGGGAAATATTCACCGTATTTGTGAAAGCTAACGGTCATAACACGATCCGTGGTGTAAAAGGCTTCCTCGACACCATCGCCGTGATGAACATCGATATCTATATACAAAACCCTTTGATGGTATTTTAACAATTCCAAAATACCCAACACAATATCATTGACATAACAGAAACCAGAAGCCTCCGATTTTTTAGCGTGATGCAAACCACCACCCCAATTAATACAGATTTCGGAAGCTTGTTTATTCAATTTGACTGCGGCTGCTACAGAACCACCGGCTGACAATTGACAAAACTCATATAGACCATCGAAAACGGGACAATCTTCACCAACATTAAAACGCTGCATTTGCTTATTATATTCAGTCATATTGTCCGGTCGTATCGACCGCAGGAAGCGTACATATTCATCTGAGTGGAATTTAGTCATTTCATCGGCAGTAGCTTTGTGAGGACGCTGAAATAAAAAATAAACAAAAATGCATTTGTTTTGTGCTTATAAATGAATTTTAAAGCAAAAATATCGAAATACGATATACTATGCGTATATAGATGTAAAGTTTCTTAAAACGAAAAGAATAAGAACTTACATATATTTCCATTTTCCTATAGAGACCGTAATTTAGCAGCAGATTATGGGTCATACGTATGCGGTGTGGCTTCATAGGATGACCCTGGCCATAGTAGTAGTTACCAATATCACCTGTTAAAAGATTTAAAGTTAAAAAATAAATTTCTGAAATTTATAAATTTTAAGGCGAGAGTCCCAGAAAGCGCAAAAAGTACAGCACACTCTCTACACAAAATAATTGAATTGCCTTATACATTTTGTACACGCTAATTAGCGTACGTAGTACAGAAATACGGTCATTGGCACAAGTGTGCTGTGCAGCATAGGTACTTATGAATACTCGCGTTAAAATTAAAAAATTTATGAAGAAACTAACAATGTGTACAAATTATGAAACATTTTTAATTAATAAACGAATTTTTAAAATATGTTGTTTTTTCTTTTTATTAAAACAAATAACTTACTATCATAATAATAGCAGACCCTCTTTTTATTATGTGACTGCATTGTGGTATATTTTTTAAACTTTTCTATCTATTAAACACGTAATTATCAGGTTTAATAAATGCTTTTTAACTAATTTATTAAGAAAGATTTGTTTCTTTACGCTTCACTTTTATATTTATATTTATTTTACTTTATATTATTTCTCAACGGCAAATAAAGCCTCTCACTCTTATTCTTTCTTGCCGCATGAAGCAGACCGCGTCTTTATAGGGCGAATTATATTAAATATGTAATGAAAATTCGAACAGTGTTGCTTAATTCAGCTAATATTCATTTTGGCATCAACATATATGAAATAGGAATAAAAACCACTTTAAACAAATAAAAATTTAAGCTAAAATTAAAATTATGATAATAAAAGTGAACAGCTGCTAAATAGTATTTTTATTTAAATTATTCAATTTAATCAACTTAAGTGTTTTTATTTATTATCTTCCTATTGGCCACTCTGACAGGCGAAGAGTAGCGTAATTTACGCTCTTCCATAGAGAGAGAAAACAAAATGTAAACAAAAGCCACGCATATGTGTTCAAAAATTAACATTACATAGAGGAAAGAAATTATACGTTTGATAACAAAGCCATGTTTGTTAACTGCTTTAAAATCATTTATTACTATTAGTAAACTTTATGCATTTTGGTACAAAAAGGAATTTATGTTGCACTCTCTGTGTATATCCATTTCGATTTTTCCAGATTTCCTATTTTTCGTTTATGCATTCCACTTTTTGCCACTTATCATTTATGTTAATACTGTTTGCGTTCAGGTAGCCGCTCTTAAAATCGAGAATTTTTAAGTTCATCGCTCATGTTAGCGCTATAGCTTATATTGGTTATCTTCATTTATTAGTTTCAAAAATAAATGCATACTTTGTTCTTAAAAAGTGTTAAAAGAACCGAGTTAAAAACTAACAATTAAATTAATGGATGAAAAACTGTTGAGAGTAAGAAAAGAGCTGCCATAACATATTTCTAAAATTAATTTTATCGCTGACAATCTTTCTTTCATTTGCGGCACTGACAAACTCACATATTGCGCTAAGAAAAAAAATAAAAAAAATATGTGCTTCTGATTTTTATATTAGTACTTAACTAAGTGCAAATAAATAGTAAGATTTCCAAAGAAAGCATTTGCATCTTACTTAGTTCCGGATAAAAGTAACTCAAAATTGTCAAAAATGATGGCATAAACTAAGAACTAATTATATTAATTGGAATAAATCCAGGGAAAAAAAAATATATTGCGGAAGAATTATCGAAATTCCGTAATCAAACAAAATAAACCACTAGAAAAGTACTTCTCGTGAAAACGCTATCGTGAAAAGTTGTCGTTTATGTCTTAATTATTAATAGATTCGACTCCAATGAAGATGTATTCCTCTAGGCTTTCGAAAATAGGGCGCCACTGCGCTATAATTTTCTTGTTGCATGAAAGTCTCGAGCAGACTGTTTATAGCATAGTCAAGAGTTGATTGGCCATGAAAGTCAAACATATCTCACACCGCATATTCTGAAAACTGCCTCCGTACCAGTTCTTCCGTTTCCGTTCTTCCGTCGTTATAGACATTTTAGATGAATCTGCGTCATCATCGCAGTCAATAATAAAGTCGTTTTCTTTTACGCATACATCGTCGCAGGCATCCCAATCACTTAATTAATAATGTACTTCTTAAGGTCTCTTCACTCATCCCTTGTAGGCTTTCTGTTATGCCTTTTCTCCAAGCCGTAAGCCAATCTACAATCATTATCCGCTTCACTGTTTGGACTTTCGTTAGCGAACGAACGAAAGAAGAATCTGCATGGAGACTAATCTTGCGATGAGATACTTTATTTCGTGCACTAAAGCACACACGTTATTTCCTTACGATGATTTCCCAAGTATGCAAAGATGAAAGAAATGGCAGTAATATAATGTAATTTCATTGACATAATTAATCTAAAATAACGTTATACTGTCTTATCAATATGCAACTCTAATCCTAACTGCATTGCATACATTCGTCTTCCATTTGGTTTGTGTCCAAAATCGGTCTCGTGTTGTATTTCAAATTTGCCATGGTTTGTGTACAACATTTTATATGGTACCTCTTTTTAATAGTTTTTTTTACTACTAATTTGTACAGTATATAGAATTTTTATTGTAAAATTTTTTGTGTATGTTTATATTGTGAAGCTGGCACTATAATTGTTGCTACTTCATTTATTTAATCATAATTTCTAAACAAATGTTAATATTGTTATTATTAATGTTTGAAATCGTTAAGAAATTTGTTTTGATAAACAAAACTAAATAGGTAATAAGCCAATTCAATTTTTTTTTTTTTTTGTCTAAGCAAAAAATTCTTGGAATAATGAGTTCAACCCGAAACCAAATCGAATATTACCGAAGACCAACTGCAAGAATATCTTATCCCTTTAGAGACCAAAATTGCTAATTTTGATAACTTAAACTATGTCAAAGACAGAAGCTGTTATTGCGAGAGTTCGAACTTCAATGCTAAACGAATTTTCAGTCGTAAGTAAATAGAGAAATAATTATACACAAATTGTACTACTCAGATTAAATTATTGCATTGCATAAAAATAAATGGTGAAATTCTTTTTTCTTTATAATTTTAATTTGTGAATGGTATTTAATATTACAATATATATTTAATTTCGAATTCTACATATTTTCAAAATCAACACTAAATTGCCGAAAGAACTATAAAAAGACATATCATCCTACGACTGTCTGTAATTAACATCCATTATCTTACCCACGACAAAAATCCTTGCTATCTTACAGAATCTGAATAAAGATTGGCATTTGATTATCAAAATATTATCAAGCGGACGTAAAAGTGATGGAGGTCAATTACGTTCGTGTAAAAGCAGACGTCTTTGTTGCTCAAGCTGCTAGAGAAGAATCAATCAAATAGCTTGGTCGTAAACTTCACATCATCAAAACATCGCTGTCAGCTGTTTTTGTAGACTGTATTAAGTTATCGATAATTACCAATTTTTTTTGTTTGTTTCTAAACACGTTTGTTGTTCAGTAAAACAATATAAAAGTGTAAACATATGTTGAGCATGGATCTTCAAGTTGAATCTTTGAAAGAATTTCTTATAGATGTGGTAGATCCTAACCGACGTTCTGAAGTCGAAATAAATCCCGATCATATTACGCTGCTGCATGGTGCAAAAAGTGAAAAACAATTAAGTCATAAAAAGCGCCGCTCAAAGAATTCGGCTCTGACAAGACGAGAATATGCGCAATTGGGCCTAAACACTTTACCTACTCGACAGATAAAATTTAAAGAAGCATTACCGCTCCATCAGCTTTGGAAAGGCTACATGAAAGAACATTTAGGCTTAAGCACGGGAGATACCGTTCCTCAGGTGTTTGATCCTCGCTATGATGCTTTTAGTAAGCTCATTGTTAAGACTGATTTACATGGTGCTAAAATTCGCGTCATTCAGTCAAAATGTCCGACATTAGTCGGCTTGGCTGGAATTGTGCTACTTGATACCAAAAATGTTTTAAAAATTGTAGGAGAGGATGACCGGCTTCGTACCGTACCCAAGAACGGGTGCGTATTCGCTATGAGCTTCGCTAATATGGAATTTACGATATTCGGGAACTACCTTACCACTAGACCGGCTGAAAGATCGGTAAAGAAAATTAGAAAATTAATGGAACCATTCGAGTAGCGGCATATATCCGTAGTATCGATACATTACATTTGTTATCTACCTATCGCATTTATAATTTAAAGCATTGAAGCATTTTGAATTAAGTTCTTCATACCTTACAGTAATATATTTATACATCTTAATAGGTAAATGATTAATATTTTGTTTTTTTTTTTATTGTTGGCAAGTGTCTGCGTTTGGTCTATTATATCAATAAAGATTTTTGGCTTACATTCTTTATGCAAATTTATAAATTGTTGCCCATGAACGTGCCCAATTTCCATAAACAATAACCTTTTATTTGAATTTTCTAAGAATATTTAAATGTAAGTATAATTAATAAAAGCAAGCAAAAAAGATAATTGTCTTAGGTACATCATTGCATTTACATCATTCAAAAAGTTGGTTTATTCCACAAAATAATATAATATATATATATATATATATATATATATATACGGAAATTTGCGAATATCAAACATTTTTCACACAGTTGTCGAAAATAGTAGTAATATTACAGAAATATGTACTCTCTAATAAAAGATGCAAATTCTGTGAAATTATTATTGAAATATTATTTAACTGACGCATTTCATTCATAATTTTTATGGTAAGAAATAAAATAATATGTATTGCATTTAATAAAGTGGTTTCTTAGCATTATCGATAACAAGACGAATCGTTTCGATTATTTTACATTTTAGCTCGAAACTTAGCAACTCTGTCCGCTAAATAGAAGAGCAAAAATTTCTGTTTAGTCTGGTTGGTGCGGTTACAATGATGTGGTGATAGGTCTTTAAATTAAGAAAAATTAACTTATATTTGAAGTAGAAATTAAATAAAAACTTACATTCAGTTGTTTACTAATCAAGTGCAACGAGAAAATTAAAATTTGATGTTTAAAAATTTTCATAAGACATTAAATGGAAACAAGTAAGATTTTTTTTTTTTATGTGTGAACCAAGTTGTGCGAAAGAGAGTTGAATAGCGTAAAAGAGTAACTTCACGAATGGCCGTGGAAAGCACAAAACGAAAATAGAATAATAAAAGTTTTTTTACTCCAAAAAAAAAAAGAAAAAAAACAAAAGGTGTTTTTAAAGTTGAAATCAAGAAAACATGAAAATGTATAACAAATTGATGCAATAAAAGCAACTTCAGACTACTCGTTAAGACAACAGACCATCCTTTAAAACAGAAAAATTGTGGGCGTATATATATATATATAGTACAAAATATACATATTCTATATATATATATATATATATATATATATATACATATATCATCTACATGTGTGCACAAATTTATACAAATGTATTTGTCTAGTGTAGGCGGCTTTTTTGGAGTTTTTTTTTTTTTACCTAAATTCATTGTCTTTATATACTTCACATATCTCCTTGCAATTATTAGTAGTTTTAATTTATAACTAGAAGTAAAAATTTTTTATTTTTATTTTTCTCATATACTTAGTCCCGTTTGGTTGACTACTTTTTGATCTTTTAAAGGTATGAATTTGTGTATATATGTGCCTATGTGTGCATGCTTACTGTGCGCCTGTGAATATAAATGTTTGTGTTTCGAATTAGCAACATAGTTTTTTTCTGTTTATGCTTTTTTATGACTCCTTTTTTTCTGCGTGTGTGTCGTCACCATAGCTATAGCTGCTGCTTTACCACCACCGTAAGCCTGTTAGTAAGAGTTACACCACCTCGTTGCCATTCCAGTCCAAACATCTCGTTCAATATTACCGTCGCTTTTCTCTCGGTGTGCGTTTTGCATGTTTCCTTCTGCCTGTAAGTGCCTGTTTGTGTTTTCTATTTAATTTTTTTTTGTTTCAGATTTTTCGCTCTCCTCTCTTATTCTACACTCTTTCATTTATGTAGTTTCGTATTGCGAGAGTTTCTTGCCATTCTTGTTGTTTTTGACTTTTTTTCACTTAACCTCTTGCCAACCCCCACGATAATATAAACCCATATATTATGATGTCTCTTCTTGCCAACGCACATTCATAGTTTCGTATACATGTGGGGGTGCTTGTTGTTACTTTGTTAGTGCTATATGTTACCGTTACGATTAGTACTATTATTATTTATATTATTTATATTATATATACCTTGTGCTCTATCCCTTTTTCCGGTGATATTTTCATCGTTTCTCTCAATTAGCGATTCATATATTTATTTGCTCATGCCATTATTTCCCACATTTCCCTTTATAATGACATTCAACCTACATATTTAGTACTGATATACATTTGCTTACATACATTCATATACGTACATACATTCATTCAACATTTCTATGCTGTAATGTGAAAACTTTCAGAAGTGTTGATTTCGATTAAATTTGTATTTATTTGCGTTATTTTTTCAAGTGAAGTGTTAAAAGAAGGCTCACAAATCGTGTATTTTATCTGTGAGTCATTTAGTAAATTGCTATGAGGACTTGTGGATTATTATGTGCTAAAGCAAAAGGATTATAATTGCAAAAGCATAATCAATTATATGTGAAATCAACTGAACTCAGTAAGAAGAGAAACTATGGCCGAAAAGGTAAGTCTATCGCTCTGCATGCTATCACTTCACATAGAAAAATCAACAAAGTTAAATAATTGTAAAGCATCCAAATACGATTTTTTTTATAACCGATCCGTTTGAAGGCAAGTTTTTAATTAAATTGCATTATATATTTTTCTAAATTGTTTTAAAGCATTGTTGTCCTTAAAATAAAGTCACAGATGGAATGTGTTTATTAGTGCGGAGGTAGAGTACGTTCAATACTATACTGGTTCATCGGTATGTTGAATAAGTAAGCAAGAAAGTTATGCTTACCTTTTAGTTACGCGTAAATACAAATCGCTTCCCACCGCGTACCTCAAAACCGTAACTAATTTTTCGAGCAACTTGACTGGTGCAACATTTGTTTGTAGATATTTGTAAAGTAAATATTCGCCTTTCCTTAGCCATTGGGTGATTTTGGTTTCTTGGCTTAGTTTCATTTGCCATATCTTTAATACTTATAGACCTACCTTTGAATAGATTATTAGCGATCCTATCCTAGTTGGCCAGTCTCAAGTTGGTGTCGGCTTTTGCATCTGTAATGCATTGTTCCACAACGAGCTGCCGTCGCTAAGAACGATTATACAATCTAGATACTATTCAGATAAGTAGTAAGCAGTGGACAAGGGTCAGCAAAATACTACGGTTCGTAACTGCATTGTAATTAGGTTCATTCGAACTAGAATTCTTCAATTAATTGCGCCGTGTTTGCGATTATTCGTACATCGTGTACGCGTTCTTAAGAGGTCTGCAAGCAAATCGTTGACGCCATTTCTATTGAAATTCGATTCGCAAATAGAGAGGTTATCGGAATGGCTATATATGTATATGTTGGGTAAATTTGGATCTATTTAGAATACCTTGTAGAATCGGAAAAGTTAATACCCTTGATTCTCCATTGCCAGTAAATAACAAAATGTAAAAAGCAATAAAGCCAAAGTAGATATCACTTCGTACACACGCACACACACACACGCACACACACATATTTACTATTATGATGTGTCTATGATATACTCAAGACAGAATAAATAAATTAACATAAACTTTTCATAGAATCCATTTCTGTTGATCTGCAACGTGAAGGCTTGACATGTTTTAACATGCATAAGTACTATGAGAAAAATATAACTCATTTCAAGCAACTAATCAAGAAATTATTCTACAGTCGCATTACTTACTCAAACAGACGGTCCAAGTTTAAAGAAAATAAAATAAACAATACTGTAGGCAACAATGAGACAATGAGTGTAAAAAAGAAGAAAAAAACTTTGTGTGCGTTGAGAGTGACAGAGTGAGAGAGAGAGAGAGAGAGAGAGAGAGAGGGAAGGAAAAGGAAAGAGATAAAGAGAACGATTGGTTTTATGTATCTCAGAATAAGTTCAAGTTAAAGTTATTTTACACAATTAATTTTATTAATTAGATAATGTGTACGCAAGAGGACATATATATATATATATATGTATATATGTATATGTACTTATTTATCTTAGTTATTAACGTAAGAAGTTTTGTTTTTGGGCAATTAGACAAGAATCTCTTGAGTAAACTGCCATGAGATGTCAGGATGTTAAATTAAGAGGATTAAATTGATGTGAAAAGTTCTGTTGTCTCAGACAAAACGAATGAAATTTTTACTTAATGCTTGAAAGGCCATCGTTAAGTATAAAAAGACTAATCAACTCATATGTTTGTTTGTTCATAGCAAATACAAATAACGTAAATCTAAACTGAAAGTTTCAACTTAGTTACAGACAGAGACATACGAAATTCTATTATACGAAGGTAATATTAAAGTTTACAATTCGTTTCGTTTTGGTAGATGTTTTAAAAATCCTCAGAACTCTAGGATTCTCTGCTAAGAGGCTACTTCGGATCAGTCAGTTGCCGTTGGAATGGATTATGTGGCTATAGTTTAATTAATTATTAGAGGGTGTTAAGCAATTTGCAATCATTATAGAAAAACCAAAAAAAAAAAAAAAAAACCTTTTAAGCGAATAATTCCCTTTTACTATAAAAATTTTCGAAAACAATTTAGAGATTTTCTAAAACACTTTTCTATCTCATTAAATTTTTGCTGGAAACGAAAATCGGTATATATTTTTATTCATTTTTAAAAGTGTAAAAAAAATTAAATTTTTTGTTAGAAAATTAGAGCCAAGTTTTCTCGGAAAAAGGTAACAAAAGTTTATATTTCACTTAAGAATCTGGGGAACGCTCGTTAAAAGAATGATTATCAGGCATTTTATGAGAAAGTATGAAAAGTTTTTATATCACTTTCTCATAGAAGCGTGTACGATTTCTTTGCTTCTTGCTTCTTCTCAAATATTTTTTAAAATTGAAACAAGTAAGAGAGTTAAATTCGCCGAAATCCACCTGAGTGGCCGAGTAGGCAAGAGTCGTCCGAACTACCAACTCAATGGTCGTGGATTCAAATCTCAAGTGCGGTAGAGTTTTTAATAAAGCCGAAAGCCTTAGATGCTAGTGCTTTAAGACTTTAGTCTTAGAATTTATTCTCTGGCTAAGTTTATAATAATAATAATAATAAATTCGCCGAAAGCCGAATCTCGCGTACCCATCACTATGCTACTCGCATTTTACTCCCCAAGTTCTTTTATTTCATATCCATATCGCTGATATTATTAAGAAAAAATTAATGACGCTGTCTACCATATTCATTTTAAAATTAACCCATTCTTAGGCAGATAATATAAATTCATTTGAGGTGTGTACAAAACAGTTTTAATGCGGCCGCACAAACACTGATGATGCTGAACGCTTTGGACGCTCGAGTTTTAGAACATAGAAAAAAAGTGCACAAAATCGTTTTGGATGATTGGAAAGTGAAGTTGTGCGAGAGATAGCTGACACCTTACAGATATCACAAGATAGTGTATGTATTATGTAACATGAACATTTGTCCATACAGTCTATGCGGATATCGCATTTACCCACTTTTGACAACAGCAGAGTGGTGTTGGTCGCTGTGGATGAAACGCGTATTCGCCACTACACTCCGGAGTCAAATCGACAGTCGCTCGAGTGGGCAGTCGTCAAAGGTGATCGAAAAAGTCACGATCACCAAAACAACTGTAAGTCGTCGTGAAATTTTGATACATTTCCTTTAAACGTTGGTGCTATCTAAAACTTATGAAATGCTACGAACTTATTGAGTGACTTGCTACATGCCAGAAACAGATAAACAGATCTTTAATTAACACAACTGATAACAACAATCGAATCTTAGATGTAATAATCCAGCTTATTAAAAGAATCTTAAACGGTGTGCGTGGTTGTTGGGTATTGACTGGCTTTAATCACAGTAACTGACTGATTCGTCTTCTTTATTGGGTTAATAGAAGCATTAAAACTTTTAGAATGTTTGAGAAACAATTTCGATAAAATGTACGGCTTCTGCCTGCCTCAAATGATTCTTCGCTGAAAAGTTGCAGCGCACTATACTCATTTAAGAGCGGCGTAAAAGCCGCACAGTAATATATTAATGTTGCCTTATTAAAGCGATCATTGAGTACGCAGGAGGCCTGAGGCGAATCGAAAGTTTACCATGTTTCCAGCAAGAAATTAAACGTTTCGGTTGAGGTATGAACTATCCCTTCTTTTTCCGTGTACAACATGCGTTCCTGTCATTGACAAATGCAGCAAATGAGGCACCTTTGAGAAAAAAATTCTTAAAGAAAAAGTGTGACGACGAATATTCGAACGTCCAAGGGTGCTTTCATGATCCAGGAACTGCAGACTAATCTCAAAAAAACAATAAGAAATTTATTGTAAAGCATGTCTACGACGCACATCAAAGCTTAAAACACGTTTTCACGACTTTTGGAAACCATGCAAGGAACAACATCTTCAATTTTGTGATAGCTTTGCTTGGAATTGCTCACAGTGTCTTCTCTAGAGAACCGTGGAGGCGAGTTTAATAATCGTTGCGAAAAATTATACCAAATTTTAAAAAATCGGTAGTAATAGTTCCTGGAAGCAAAGTATGAATTTTTTTTGCCCATTCGATAGGTACTTTTATGTAGATTCACGTGATATAGGTGAATATAGGCGGCATTTTCTAGTTTGGCCGCACTAGAGTGTCAAATTTGGGTGCTTTCCATATGCATTTTTCGCTAACATAGCAAATTTCAAATACCGTTAAAAATAGTTCCCATAAGCAGAATTTGAATTTGTTTAGTTTGTTTGAAAGGTAGTTTTATATGGATTCATGAAATGTCCACAAAAATACTTTCTTTTTTTGTTTTTAATATGGACGGACTAGGCTTTCAAACCAACTATATCTCAATTGTAATTATTTAACATGAGTTGTGTTAAGTCGTTAACAGAGGTATGTTAACAGAAATTGTAGGTATCTTTAAATTCGAATTTATCTTCATACCCTTGTGATAACACCTATTAATGATGCAATGACTTGGACTGCGCAAGGCAATGTAAGGATTTTACCATTTGTCTTAGCAAACAAACAAAAAAACAAAAGAAAGTTATAGAGCAGGGTATTAAATAGGTTGCCAGTCTCGGGTTTCTAAAAGATACTTTTTTCGTTTCATATAAAGTATACGAAAAAATATATATAAATTCTTATAACATATTGATAGCAATTCCATTTAAACTGTGAGAGTTCATTTTCGAAACTTATTTACTTACTTACAACGCGATGTTGTCTGTCTATATCTGTAAATTTCTTTCCGATGACTGCATTCACATATATAAAAGATTTACTATTAATAATCCATCCATATGATCGCGTATATATATAAAAATATTTTTATGTGCGCATGTAAAGTAAGTAACTGTTACTTATTGCTTCACTCTAAATACTCATTTTATTTATTTAGTTAATTATCGTTGTACTCGCCTCGCTAGTGTTTCCATATGCTCGCATACACATGTGTCTCTGCAGGTACAACATGATATGATTATGATATGATGTGATGTGATATTGACAAACGCATCTTAGATTTTATTTCTTATTT